TTTTCTAAACCGGTTTGGTATGAATAGGCGAACAGATTACAAAGATCAACAGTCGCAGGAAAAACAGACAAACCGAGTGAAAGCTTAAGAGCTACATGTACGATGTTATTGCATACTTTCAGTGAAACCACCGGCTCCAACTGTTACAAGGAGAAGAGAAGATTAAGACAATTCAGTTGTCGAATGCCGTAAGGTGTAACCAAGCCACTGTGAGCGTTGGTGCTAAAGTATTTTAGGTAGTTTTTCGAAACTGCGGACCTGATTACTAGTTTTTTGCTATGTTCTGATGAGTCTTATAAGTGACATTAAAACATGAACTCTCACATGGTTCCCTATTCTTTTTTGTGTATGTTGCAGTCATTTCCAATAGTCTGTGTTCTTTTACCATTTAACAAATCGTGTTAACTGAATATTGTTTTTCAGACTCCATTCCAAATAATGATAGTCGGGATTCACCTTGGAATGACGTCGACCTGTCCGACGATTCTTCACTGTCCGATTTCAGTGGAAAACTTTCTTATCCTAGGGAAAAGTTAGCTCAGCATTCGTGCTCGCCTATTCGGAAGGTATCTGAAGGCGCTCCACCCCCCGCATACAGAGGTGAGTTCTTTGAATCCTTGGTCTTTTTGGTTGTCTTTGAGTTGCATTTCGAAATTATATTGCAGATGCATGATTTAGCATTTACATAGGTTTCGTGATATTGCTTCCTGTTTGGATCATATAACAATTCGCTGTTGATGGGGAGGGTGTATAAAAGACTGCCGTTCGCTTTGGTCTACCTGTTTGGACTCCGATTTCGCAGCAACAGCACAGTGCACTCAGCTGGTTTGATCAGTTGTAGCTTAACCCACTGGCTTAACACTGGGTCTCCTCCAAATCTCCTCGAATTTTCGACGCGCATCGGGCAATACCGGCAGACAGCTGGTATAGTGAACACACAAAGAGCCTGAGCGACGGTCGCGAAGCCTGGCGGGTATTACGTGCAAAGTAGATGGAATCAGCAGCTAGGTGTGTAAACACCTGGCAGCTATTCCAGCTCATCCGGACCACTGGTCCCAAAAGACAGTGCGTTGGTGAAACGGTCTGCGAAGTAGACTACACGCTAATAGTCTTCGCCGACGCTTGGGACGCTGGGCAAAGCAATTCACATCGCAGTTTAACCAGCCCCCCCACGTTGGATACTCGAATTAGTACTCTTGAGAGTACACCCTGGTCAATATCCACGGTACCGCTCACAAGAGTGGAGATCCGATAGGAACTCCAAGCAATGAAGCGCCACAAGGCAACTGAATCAAACAACCTGCCATCGGCCCTCTTTAAAGATGGCAGAGAAGCTCTCGTGAGAGGGCTTGCCAGATTGTTCTCAAAGACCTGAAAACCGAAACTACCCATAAGCGAGGGGAATTGATCGTTACCTTCGTTTACAAGAATGATTGTCACCATACCTAATCCAACCGCAGGGGCCTAAGTCTGATTCCAGTAGCATCAAAGCTGTTAGCGCCCATTTTATCAAGTAGACTAAACCCGTTTCGTGAAAGATGAATTCACTAAGAACAAGCCAGGTTTCGTGCATACTGTGGTTGCATAGATCAAAGCTTCACCCTTCGTCAGCTGCTAGGACACCGCAATATAACGGCTAGCGAAGGTAGGCGAGAATGAGCAGACAATCATCAAAGCAGGCATTGAAGAAATATGAGTTGTAAACAAGAAGGGAGAGAGAATAGCGCCTTTAAGAACTCCTTGAGTGGAGGGTAAAAGTGAAGAGTAATGACCCTTATATTTGGTAAACTGTGATCGATGGGTGAAATAATTACTTAACAGATTGGTAAGCTCCGACTGAATGCCTTTCTCAGAATGAGTGTGAAGAAGTTTGGACCTATCAACACAATTAAAGGCATCACTGAGATCAAAGAAACATACCCGAACAGCTTTACATTTCCTGTCCAAGGAGGAAGAGATATAATGAATAAGGGATGCCAACGCATCAATGGTTGACCTGGAACTGCGGTAGGCAAATTGATTGGGATCAGGTGCATTCAGCTGGGGCAGCATCTTTTGTAGTAAAATCTTTCCCATGACTTTCAAACCCACAGAAGTGCAAGCAATCGGGCGAAATTCGGTGGATCCCTTTTTGGGTACTGGTGTGATAGAAGCCACTCTC